CGATAGGAGCTTACGCACACGGGCAATGGTAACAGGCTTAAAGATTGAAAGGCTGTTCGGAGACATGGGGCCTTGAGGTAGAGTCAAGGCTGGGGGACGTTGAGGATCATTGACAATGCCTGCAAACACATTACCAATGTCATCCGGGGAGCATTTGGGAAGAGTGTGGACTGGCTGCCGTCCGCTCAGCTGATTCAATACACGCCAAGTCTGCCTTGGGTTCCCTGTAGCGTTCACAAATGCTTCATTGTAATGCTGTTCCTTCAGTGCTCGGCTAGTGCGGGTAACCTCCCGTCTGCTCTGCTGGAAGCTGCGGTAGTCCACATCAAGTCTGGTTCTCAGCCACTTACGATGCAGTTTATTGCGCCTGCGTACAAGCGCTGCGAGCTCCGAGGTATACCATGGTGCGACATTGTGGGCACGGTGCTTCCGAGGCCGGAGTGGTGCATGTTGATCTACGAGTGACATGAGACACTCGTGCCACTGGGTCCACATTTCGGTACAGGTTCCCTTCATGGAGCACAGGTTAGCACACTGGATATCTTGCCGAAACAGGTCCATATTGATACGTCTGATGTTCCGTGTCTGTGCAGGAGCTGCAGGAGGAATTCGAATTGGAACCATGTTGAAAGGGGTTGTCACAGCATGGTGGTCGCTGAAGGAGATAGCATGAGTCGTAGCAGGAGAAGCACATCCCATTGTGCTATATACTAAGTCAATTGTAGTTGGTGGTCCTCTTAGTCCAATACGAGTGGGGCTGCGTACATGCTGCTGCAGTCCATAACTTGTAGCAATATCAGCCAGCCGCATATGATTACTGCAATTGCGACTGGTGTCAACATTAAAGTCTCCACAAAGTATTGTCTGCGTCGTTGGGCTGCAGGCTTTACTCAGCAGGGCTTCAAAGGAGTCCCAGTATGAAACAGTGCACCCTGGTGGCCGGTATAAGCTCCCAATCAGGCATGGCTGATGGCTGGTTTTCACTTCAATCCAACAGCATTCTATGCCTGGAGAAACGAGATCAGGCCTGGGTTGGCAGTTGAGTTCAGCTTTCCAATAGATGCAGACACCACCACCAACATTTCCGCTGCGATCTAGCCTTTCTAAGTTATAGCCTGGGAGGTGGAGATCGCCAGGAGTGACGGATGAGTCCAGCCATGTTTCGCAAATTACAAGTATGTCAGATTTTGTTCCTTCAGCAAGATCCAGAACATCACGCAGTTTGTGGCGCAGGCTTCTGATATTGATGGACAGGATATTCAGTTCATGAGCAGCAGGGTCGTTGCCTAATCTTCTTCCAGTCATTGCACAGATATATTATCCACATCCTGACTTAGAGATGCAAATGCGTTGCCAACAGTGACACTAAACTTCGCAGCTTGCGTCTCTGGCGGCGAGTCACGCTGATAGCCCCGTGATTTCTGGCCTGGAGTCCGGGCCGGTGCTCCACAGGTGTCATCTAGGATATCGCAATCCACGCTGTATCCGCTCTTACTGTCGTCCGTGGGGCTGCTGCTGCTGTTGGTGGTCGTGGTGCTGCTCTGCGCTGTTTGTTGATCTCCACTGGCATCAGACTGGGTGTACTTATCGAAGTTCCACTCTCTTGTGTACACAGGCCTTGGCCAGAAGCGCTTGTTGCTGAGAAACGATTCGTCCGCTGCACTGGCAACAATACGCGCAGTGGAGGATTTTTCTTTTTGAAATATTTTTACGTCAAACACTTGGACATTGTGGTCAGCCTCAGCTGCTCTTGCTGCGATAAACTCCTTCAGCTGGTCTGCAGTAATTGCATGCATCAGATTTCCGACAAACAGGACTCTCTTCTTCGCTGTCGGTTTGGTGGAGGTGATGAGTCGCCATGTGGCGTCCGAATCCTCACTCATCTCTTCAAATTTCGGCAAGCGATCCACACGTGGCGGGGTCAACTCCGAGCTGGGTCCGGGTGAACCATGTGTACGGGAGTTGGACGGCTTGTTGTTTGAGCTGTCAACGTCGGATCTGACACTGCTGGTCGACATGGTCAGGTCCATCTCGGGATCAATGGGTCGTGAACTCTCTACGGGTACGGCGGACTGTGAACGACTTTCTGTGGCTGTACTACGTTTCTTTCGATTTCGGCGCTGCCTCTGGCTGGTTGTTTCTTGCTCTCTCTCTAGGTCTGCAATGGCGGAGGAGTTTGATTTACAAGACGCACACGTAACATTGCCGATGTCCAAATTTTGGCACAGGCGAGTGTCGGCCAGGTCCTCTCTCAGCTGGGAAAGTTCGGAGCTCAATCCACTAATCCTTCGTTGATATCGTTTCTCCTGGTCCTGGAGTTGGCTTTCAAGACGAGCTAGAGTTCTCAGCACTTCTACAACATTGTGTTCGATGCCAGGCAATGAGCGAAGCTGTGTATGGACCTGTTCGGCGGTCACCAGCTGCTCAGTGTGATCTGGGCTAGCCATCCCACCCAGGCTGTTGGGGCTAGTCCCCAAAAGCTACCTAAAAACTACGGAAAAACGGGAGCCTCAAAACACGCAACCTACTACACCCCTTACACGGTTTTACTTGGGTTCGCAAATTGGTGAGATTGATGCAATTGCAAGCAGTGTGCGGGAAACAGTTGAAAATGGATTGTTAAGTTGCGACGCCTCACTGTCTTTGCGCTTACAGAACTGCATGCCGCCTTTTTTCCTTCTTTTGTTTCTACAAAATCCACATAATATTATCTCCAGACACTGGGGTGAATAATGGAGTGTGGTGGTGGGGCCCATTAGGCTCCGCCGACCAGAGGCCTCGGCTTCATAGCTCCATGGACGCACCAAAGGGATATTGGGTAGGGAGGATTGAATTGAAAAAGAAAACAAATAGAAGAAAATGGAAAGATTGTATTGCTCAGTGAGCAAAAGAATAAGTTGAGTATTGATGTGAACGCTGTTAGACTTTTAAATTCAAGAGGAGACTGTCTGTGAGGAGAGATTACATGTATGTCCAAGCAGGGTAGGACACTGTACCCCCTTACTCGCGTATGCTATGAGTGGCCCAGTGCCAGTTCGTTCTGAGAAGATGGTGATAAGCTGCTGTCTTGAACTTTTGGATGTTCTTTGGGTGAAATGGGTGGGGAATGATAGAGGAAGGCAGCTGGTTCCAAATTGGGATGACGGAGTGGGGAAAGGCTCGGCTCACATTGTTCCGGGAATTGGCAGGAAGAACATTCTGTAACTGATGGGGATGCGCGGTGGACAGTCGTACAGCCTGGCTGGTGATGCGTGTGGTCCTGGGTTGGTGTGTCGGGGATGGAGCCATTCTCCAGAGAAGAGAGGGAGAATTATCGCAAAGGGCTTTATACAGGAGGCAGAGGGCAGCGATGGTGCGGCGAATTATGAGGCTAGGAAGCCAGCATTGCGGATGTATTGCCTTGATGGCTCGCTCCTGCACCCAGTCCAGCCGATTCAAGTGAGCAGGAGCTGCCCCCATCCAGATGATTGGGCAGTACTCCATAAGGCCATGGTAAAAAATAAATTTGATTCTCAGGTCATGAGCCTGTGAAAATCGGTGCGAGCGAGCGATTTTTTATTTTATTTCCCACAATTTTTTTATTTCCAAAGATAGGGTCACATGTATGTACGTCACAGGTTATTATAGTTATTTTAATATTCAGGCCAGGGAGTAGAAAAATACCGGTATTTTACTACTCCCTGATTCACGCCTTTTGCATTGACCGTTTTCATGTGCGCATATATATGCATGCATAGAAATAAAAAAAAATCATCGGTGCGCCGCCAAAGATTTTTTTTTTTTTTTTTTTTTTTAAAGACTGGGTCAGGTGCGCGCGTACTTGAGAATCCATGACCTCCATGACCTTGGAGAGGATGCACAGTAACGACACTGGTCGATAGTTTGATGGCGACGATTTAGACTTGCGCTTGTGGACTGGAACTTCCTCTTCTCAATCTACAATATGTTATAATTTTGCAGATATACTCCCAGTAAGCCATGAACGGAGACCCCCTTGTCTTAGGCATCGGCCTTTGGGGGATCCATAAATAGATAAATAAATAATTCAAAGGAACAGTGGGGGAAGTGAACTGCCTGAAAAGAGAAAAAATCGCCAGACCCACCAGGACTCGAACCCGGGACCTTGCTTGTCATGAGCGATGCTCTAACCACTGAGCTATGGGACCGGGCTGAACCTAGAAGGCGCTGACAAGGCAAAAAAAAGGAAGGTTTTCACCCTGTTCCTTTGAATCTGAAGTTCTCCCAATCCTTTCATAAATTTATCACTCTCTTTCACTTCTGGTAGGGTCCAGAAACTGACCGTGGTCGGTCCCCTGGGGGAGGGAGAAAGACCCAAGTGCCATCAGTATGTGTGGCACGTGTTGTGAGCTGCCTTTGGGGTTAGAGCATTGCTCATGACAAGCAAGGTCCCGGGTTCGAGTCCTGGTGGGTCTGGCGATTTTTTCTCTTTTCAGGCAGTTCACTTCCCCTACTGTCTCTCTCATGTACATGTACTATACACAGTCTCTCTCATGTACATGCACTATACACAGTCTCTCTCATGTACATGCACTATACACAGTCTCTCTCATGTACTTCGAAGTACATGCACTTGTCCTTGGGCGAGAAAAAACATCAACAACAACAACAAGTGATGTAAATCACCTTCCAACTGCATAACCCACAGCCCCACCCACAGCATCTCACCTTCTCATAAACTTGTCTCTTATTGGCGATGGTGCCATCGTGAGAATAAAGAATTTAAAAAATACAACAACAACAGCAGCAGTCAATTTCACCGGCTATATCACCCCGCTGTGAGTAAGGCAGCTTGAAATGTGCTTGGATCCATACAAAAACTGGATCCACGTGGATCCAGTTTTTGATTATTAATTTTGAAATAATTGTTGCTATGCTGTGACGTAGCACTTTCAAGCCCTATTATCCACGATGTCTATTATTTCCACATCGCACTGCACTGTATGCAGGCAGGAGGACTGTAGACACCCAAGAACAGAATGTAATGCCTGAACTGTTGTAGCAGAAAACTATTCAACGATACGATAGCACTTTAAAATAAAAGCAAGCAAGGCATTATAAGAGCGGTTTTCGTGCATGCTATCTATGTGCTTCATCTCAGTTAGAAGTGCGTAACGGAGAGTAGAGGAGTATTTAAAAAAGCCAGGTGTACAACTTTAATATGGTAAAAAAAACAAGAAAGCCGAGTAGAGGGATATAGAATACGCTGCCAAGCGATATAAAAATTTGCGGCAGCAATTCGTAAGATGAGAAGCGCAGAGAGCTGAAGCAGTCAACTAAGTGGGAAGAAGGCGTCGTGAGATAGGAGTGGAAACCAACACAACATGGTGGAAAGATGGGGATGGTACTGCGCAAGGCACAGTCGGACCAGAACATGAGATAGATACTCAAGCAGCGATCAAGGGATCAAGGACATCTCCAGCGTAAAATCATACTGTAACGAACAGACGGACAACAAGAAACAGGTACGCATATCCGGGTTAAACATGTTACAGTCAACAACTGTGCAGAGTAGACGTCACATACACACACACACACACACACACACACACACACACACACGCGCACACACACACACACGCACACACGCACATGCACACACACGCGCGCGCACACACACACAAACACACACACACTCACACACTCACACACACACACACACACACACACACACATGTACGTACAAACCATGCACTGACACACAAATTGACACAGACAGACAGACAGACAAAAATAGAAAGACAGCCAGACAGACGGGTGTGTCATTGAATGGATATCGAGCTTTTGGCAAACTGACACAGACAGACAGAAAGACAGACAGACAGACAGACAGACAGAAAGACAGACAGACAGACATATACCTGCACACCCAACCATGCACATAGGCACACATACACACACAGATATACAAACATGGTCCTATCCTGAACATCACTGTAAAACGGTCACATGTTCCCTCGTACGAAGGGCCGACATGAACACAGACACACAGACACCTACTGAAAGCAGATGCATAGCTCCAACTTACCATTAAGGCATTAAAGTCAGGACGCTCCATTGCACGAAAACCAACAGGAAATGAAACCTGCAAATAAAATAAAATACGCAACAACACAATATATTCTAAGAGCCGGGGCCTAGCAAAGTTTGATACGCCTTCCTGTGCTGTGTGAGTGAAAGAGAGAGAGAGAGAGAGAGAGAGAGAGAGAGTTTCCGCAGTTCTCTTCCTCGCACACACACACACACACACACACACACACACACACACACACACACACACACACACACACACACACACACACACACACACACACACACACACACACACACACACACACACACACACACACACACACACACACAACAGGCTGGTCACTAGCCACAACGAAAGAACCTGCGGCATCTTGTGCTGGGACTGCACCATGAAACAGCTTGCCAGACTAAAGAATAGACCATTGCAATTCCGCGTGATCTACTGCACACGGTTTATATGTGGTCTTCTGGCCTGTGAGTATACTGAAGTGATGATAGCAAATAAGCTATGTATTCATGTTAGACAACTTGTGCTGGGATTGCACCATACGGCGGCTCGCAGGCTACAGGATTGGCCACCAATTTAATCTGGCATTGCAGCTCATCGCAGCTGTTGTGGCTGGGCCATGTGGTACGCAAGGATCCTGGAGCGGCCTCCTACGAAGCCCTGAAATTGGCCCTTGACACATCTAGAATCAAGCATTCCCGCAGTTGCCCCCGCAAGGGCTGGATCGATGTGGTCCGCAATGACCTGAAGCCCTCGGGAACCTCTCTCGCCCACTGTATATCTCTGGCAACGGACAGAGTTTTTGGTTGGATGTTGACAGATGCATGAACCCCGATTAATCGGGTTTTATGCAAGCTGTTGTTGTTATTATTATTATTGCAGCTCACATACAACCATGAGAACACGTACGCACATAAACGCACATGTGCGTATGTACACACACGTGTGAGCGTGCGCGCACACACACACACACGCACATGTGCACCACACATTGCACATCACATACACACATAGAAACAAAAGCTTTACCGTTTCGCTATTGGTGGAGTACTTCCGCGACACCTCAACAGGTATTTTATCGAGAAGAGCTGAATTGCAATCAACAGAGAAGCAGATCACAACAAGCGCATACATTGTAAATCTATGCCGAGTGACACGCTTCTATTACAGTTCTTCAAGTACTTCTTATTCCTCGGCAATGCTCTCCAAATCCAGAAACAGAAACTCACAATACGCGATAAACAGTTAAACACATTCTTTAATCAGGGCTTACATCCAGTGACGGATTTCGACCTCTCCAGCGCTGGATCGCTTAGTCGCATGGAACGCAGTGCTGTTGGTAGTGTGGGTGGTGGTGCTTGGTTCTGCTGCTGATGGTGTCGCCGTGGGGCTGGCTGTGGTGCATGCTGCTGATGCTGCTGTGGCTGGCCGTGGGCCATATGACCCTGGACCGGGTGACCTGGCTGCGGATACGGGGCATGATGCTGCTGGGCGTGCGCTTGCTGATGGCCCGGGTAAGGTGCCTGCGCGGCGTACGGTGGGCCCGGGGCTTGGCGCGGCGCCACCACTGGCTGTTGCCCCGGATACGGGGCGGCGTGCTGCCCGTATGAGTTGTACGGCGTCGGAGCGGAGTAAGCCTGAGCGGCCGAGTACGATGGCGGTGCTGCAAGACAAGACAAGAACATGTTACTGTACGGTTAGTGGATCTCGGTACCCAGTTTTCCGCAGTACAAGTTGCACCCATGATTTTTCGTCACGAAACGCAGACATCCGATTTGAACAGTCCGCCTATCCACACTGCGCTCTTGGCTCACATTCAAAACACCACTCCATAGCGAGGAAGTTCGCTTCTGGATAGACGCTCCAGATCAACAGTGGACAGTTCAAATTATTTTCAAATGGCCGAGTTCGTCGCAGCTTCTTACTTATACAGATACCTGCCCTGTTTATCACGGTTTATTTGCTCATAGGAGTATAAGGGGTTGTTGTAAAAGGTTTTTGTCGTCTCTGAAACGAACATCGTTCATTTCGTACTCGGACCACCTCCCCTCCCTCTGAAACGAACACAGCTTGCTATGCTAGATGACGAAAATCGCATGCATGTACATGTCACATGTACACTGTACAGTGTCGGTCTAGATGTGATTTTGGCTCGCATCCCTCCTCCCCAAACGAATGATGTTCGTTTCAGGGACAACCAAAACATTTGGCGACGACCCCTAAGTTGCCCCGACTTTTTTTGGTGAAATACTGGTGTTTAATGTGAAGATTCTACTCCGGAACATACAGCACATGCCGGGTGGAGTCGATAAGCACAGCCGACAGAATCAATAGGTACGATACATCGTTTACCCGGGCGGTCCGGGACTGGCAACTGCCCGTACATGTAACTCCGAATCACATACATTTTTGAGGGGAAGGCCATAGATATGGTGTATGGCACCACTATGAAAAAAATAGTCTAGATGATGAGCCAAGGAAAAAATGCTATCGAGCAGTGCTCAAGCTGACTTTCGTGCCATGGAAAGTCTCAGTACTCCTTGTCAGTTTTGTGCTAGATTGTGCACGTCTGACTGTTCAAAAATCTGGTTTAGTTGGTGGACTCGATCGCAGAACTTGTGCGCACATTTTTCCATGAAAAAGAGTGGTAACATTTCCACTTGAACTCGCCCAAAGGGTGCCCGGTGGACTGAAGTATCCGTAACCGACGTATGAGTGTGGGTATAATCAAGAGCACATACCCCCCCCCCCCCCCCCCCCCCCCAGGGTTCTAGAACGAATTTCCAACCGGTTACGGTCCAATGAAGAGTCGGGGGGGGGGGGGGGGGGGTCCGGGGGACCCCCGCGGAAATTTTTTTCAAAATACAACCCAAATATGGCACTCGACAGCAATTTAACAGATTTCTTGGTGCTGGAGTGTAGCAAGCCGTACAAACTCGTGACCCTAGTACCAGCCCACGCGGCTTCGCTGGAAGTATCCGTCCAGAAAAAAGCGTTTGACCATTCACAGCTCCATTCACCCACAGAAGAGTACGGGCGGTTGGAACTGATTTGTAACTTTTCAACCGGTCGCCAACAATTTCAACCGGTCGAAAACCGGTTGGGGCGGTTCTAGAAAATTCCCTGCCCCCCCCCCCCCCCAAGAGTGTGCAACTCGACTATGGGTGCTGTCCCAACAGAATTTCAAGTTGACGTCATTCGTATGATGCAATGCGCGCTGTACATGAATTGTCAGACGAATCCGGAACCTGTGGTGGACCACAGCCCACTCTGATCCTGTACAAATCATCGCAAAGAAAAACGTGTGATGCGTTGACACCCGTACACATGTTGTAAATCACTGGTGCAAGGAGCATTGCGTCATAAATAATGACGTCAAATTGAAATTCTGTCGGGATAGCAGGGTATGTGCAGTGCTGCCAAATAATTTTCGCCCAAAATCGGACACCCTTCACCATGTTCATCGCCAAGGTTGGCCACATGGTGCGAATTTTTCTCCTGGGCAATTTTTTACAGAGAATTCAAAATATCGCCTAAAACACCATGAAAATTCGCTTCGTTGCCATGGTAACCCCGGAGTTGTCATGAATTTTGTAATGATGAGTGTGGTCGCACACTGACTCTGTACAGACCGTCAGCGTTCATGCCATCCAGCCTGATCCAGGCATGTTACTTTGCACTTCCACAGCCAAGCGCTAGCCATTTTAGAAGCAAATGTACAGTGATTTGTGCCTTCAGTTGCGCTGAAAAGTGAAAGTACAGGACTTCTGCATAGGAAAGTAATGATCTCCGACATTTTGGCTGCTTTTCGGACGTTTCCCTTTTCGGACCGGTTTTCGGAAGAGCCTTCAAAAATCGGACGGTTTGGCAGCACTGTATGTGAGAGTTGCACACTCTTGGGGGGGGGGGGGGGGGGGGGGGGGGGGGTTGTGTACTCTTCCTACAAAGTACAATGTGTTGTTGTATCATAACAGGGCTGCCGGAACCGGTCTGATTAGTCAGACCATGGCTGGAACAACTTGTTGGCCACCAGCGTGTGTTTACTGCCAATGAGATACAGTGTACTAGTACCATACCCAAACTGTATGAAAGGCTGCAGTACAGCCAGACAAATCAAAAACATGCTTCTGGTGGTCCTGAATTCAAGTATGATGTTATGCCATTGAAAGTTTGGAACTCCGCAAGTTCTTCCACTAGTACACTTTCACCAGAATGTAAAGACAGTGGTACATTGTGCACTGAATTGAAGTGAAGTCCACTGTACATATGCGTATGCCAGGTGGCTGGCTGGCGTTGAGGAAGAGCAGCCATGGAATTTCGTAAACTACAAAGCAATGGGGGCGTTCCATAACTCACCACTTTGTAGAGGCTGAGCGACAGCAGGCGCGGGGACAATGTTCGACGTCGTCGGAGCGGGCTCACGCTCCTTTCTGCTGCTGCCGAACAGCGCTTTTCTCATCGAATCCATGCCCTACGACTTCGTCTGACCGGACGATATGCAACGAGATTGCTTTTTATGCACAAATTCCTGATTCCCAAGATCACGAAAAGCTGTTGCGAGGCTACTCAGACTTTTCAAAACTACAATTTTAACTAGCTAGTACTCACATCAAGAGTCAATAACGGACTCTTGCTCACATGTATTTCTCACTCTGCATTTATCGTCGGTGACCACGTCGGTGACCATTGGCATTGAGGCTACAGCACGAAGATGTTGCTTTGATTTCGAAAGAAGTCTGGATGCTTGGCCTTGGATCGATGTTTGGTGTTCTTTTCCTGACGTCACGTCATCTCGGCCCGTCCATACATGACGTCAGGTCACGTCGATTATCTCATTTTCTGCACAAGATATCAGATCTGGTGAGGTCGACCACCGGTTCGAAAATCAGATACGAAGGCAGAAAGAAGGGGAGAGACCCTGGAATGACCAATACTTTTTTGTGGTGCATCTGTTGTTTTGTAGCCTCACTCAGTCAGCAATTCCTCGCCGTGTTTGTTGCTTTCCCGGGTAGTGTTGTTCCTGCTGCTGTTATGGCTTTGCAACGTCAAGGTGCAAGGCGTGAAGGTGGAATGGCGGGACAACGAACGGTTCGTACAGGCACCCTGCAAGGTCAGAAAGCGAAGCCACTGTGAATTTAGCAACTGGCAGCAGATTTCCTTCTCGATTCGTTCTCTACCGTGGTGGCATTGGACTGTTTTACCATGTTGTGCTTGTGTCCAGGTCCTCCAGGAGCAATGTCCTGCGTGCAGATTCGCATAGCTGAAAAGTACACGGCACCTTCTCCGGTAAGGAGAAATACAATACTTTTAGTGATTTTAGATTTTTGAAAAATTGGAATGCTCAGGACTGTGTTTCCTGTGGTTCGGAGTCGAAAGCGACGCATGACGCTTGGAATCAAAGTCGCGTCTGTTCATTGTCTACACAGCCTGCCATTCACCGTTTCTGAAAACGCAAATGAAAGCGTTCAGCATGCATACCAGGTGACTCTGTGTGCGTCATCGTATTCACTGTTTCTCAGAAAATGCAATTATTAGTTATGGTTTATGAACGACAGTTGATGGTCGTGGACATGATGTGATGTGACTGTGTGCAGTGACTGTGTACGATGCATCTCTGATCTGTATCTGTAAAAAGCAGCATGAGTACATCCTGCCATAATTATGAATATTGGCAGAAGCAAGTTTTGGGGACAAAACGCCACCTGCGTTCTGCGTGGACGGCACATTTACTGACATCTAATTTTTTGGTGTTTTTGTGTGTGCGTGTGTGTGTGTGTGTGTGTATGTGTGTGTGTGTGTGTGTGTGTGTGTGTGTGTGTGTGTGTGTGTGTGTGTGTGTGTGTGTGCGTGCGTACACTTCTCTTGCGATGGGTGTATACACGGTGCATGGTGCATGGTGTGTGCGTGTGTATGTTTTGTATTTTCATGTATGTCCACGCGTATCTGGCGTGTGGTCTACCACTGCTGTTCAGGTCTCGTTGCCGCTACATTTCAGTGCGTTTGTGCAGTCTCCTTTGGAGAATGCGCCGGTAAGTGTTAGTGACTATAGCAATGGCATACAGGAGAGTCGCGCGTCCAAGAACATTCTTTACAAGGGGTTAGCTAGCCTGGGGTGTTCTTATCTCTCAGCAATCTGGCTGCGCTCTTATAGCACGTTCTTAGAAACAATGCGTACTGTGTATCCCTAAAGCTGCCTGAAAACCAACACCGCCGTTCTTAAAGGGGAAGTTAAGGCAAAAATTAAAATTTCACCAGTTGTAGTCTTCGGGGTGCTGAGTCGAATGGTCTTGGTCCGAGAAAGCTGAGACGCTCTCTTCCTACTTGAATCCCAATCGAACTCGCGCACTTCCACCGAAACTGGGTGACTGCGCCCTACTAGATGGGGATTTGTATGCAAAATGTCACTAAAAGCGCCATTTCGTTCTTATAAAAGCATGGATGACCGCGATTGGCCCATATGTTGTAGTCTTTTGGACGCTTAGTCGACTGGTTTTGGTCCGAAAAGGCTGCGATGCAGCGTTCCTCCTTTATTCCCAATCGAACATGGTTGAGCAAGCTGTCACGTGCTCCTGCGTACACCAGTCACCTGGTCACCGTGCCTGCAGGGTACAACTTACTAGCCTGCTTGACCTTTTTTGGGTGCAGTCCTGTCACTCGAGTTGAACTCGAGTTGAACCTTGGTGTGAAAGTTGTCGCCTGCTGGCGTGGTGACCAGGTGATTTGGGCACCCAGGAGCACGTGACCACTTGTTCAACCATGTTCGAGTGGGAATAAAGGAGGAACGCTGCATCGCAGCCTTTTCGGACCAAAACCAGTCGACTCAGCGTCCGAAAGACTACAACATATGGGCTAATCGCGGTCATCCGTGCTTTTATAAGAACGAAATGGCGCTTTTAGTGACATTTTGCATACAAATCCCCATCTAGTAGGGCGCAGTCACCCAGTTTCGGTGGAAGTGCGCGAGTTGGATTAGGATTCAAGTAGGAAGAGAGCGTCTCAGCTTTCTCGGACCAAGACCATTCAATGAAAAACCTACTACTACAAGACCATTCGACTCAGCACCCCGAAGACTACAACTGGTGAAATTTTAATTTTTGCCTTAACTTCCCCTTTAACTTTAGCCTTATTTATTAGGCCGTGGCATTGTTAGCATTTCAGACTGGACGTTCTTCGGCGCGCGACTCTACCGTAGTATACACAGTAAAAAACCTGTGAAGGTAACCACTCTGATATTAAAGGCGACCACCTGCCCCCAGAGGACCACTGCAGCCAGGACCAATGGATGTTATTTCCAGTCGAGTGGCACTGGATAAGGAGACCGTAAGCAGCAACTACATTTGGAATGTTGCTTGAGTGGTTGCCTTAGACAGGTTTCACTGTACAGTAAAACCTGTCAAGGCGACCACCTGTCCAAGAAGACCACCTGTCCAAGAAGACCACCTGTCCAAGAAGACCACCTGTCCAAGAAGACCATTGAAGTCAGGGTCAAGGGATGCTATTTCCAGGCAAATGACCCTGGATAAGGAGACCACCTGGTAACAGAGACCACATTTTGAAGGTCCCTTGAGCGGTCGTCTTAGACAGGTTTCACTGTAATTGATACCTATTACACCCTGTCTACAGTCACTCACTCTCATGTACAATGCACACGCGTGTCCAACACAACTACACATACTTACCACAGTCAAACAAAGGGGATGCACTATCTTCTATTTGACTACCATGCTATTTCCAGTCAAATGACCCTGGATAAGGAGACCACCTGGTAACAGAGACCACATTTTGAAGGTCCCTTGAGCGGTCGTCTTAGACAGGTCTCACTGTGTTATACAGTAAAACCTGTGAAGGTGACCAGTCTGATCATAAGAATGACCACCTGTCGCAAAAGACCACTACAACCAAGACCAATGGATGGTATTTCCAGTCAAATGACCCTGGATAAGGAGACCACCTGTACACGGAGACCACGTTTGTAGAGTCCTTTGACCGGTCGTCGTGAGAGGTATCGCTGTACAGTAGTTAGATCTGCAGTTTTTACGCTGATTCCTATAATGCTGCTGATGCTACACGTCGGGGATGTGTACAGTTCACGGCGTAGTCATCTGTCTGATTGCAGCTTTTGCAACTGGATTGGTTTGTGGAGAGATGAACCCGGCTTTGGTGTATGGGGTTTTGCGGGAGCCCCGACAATGCACATCAGTAGGCAGTTGTCGCTGCCTCGGCGGGGCAGCAGGCTGTTTGGCAGTGCACTGGCTTTCACGGATATTGCATGGTGATCATTTGGCGTACACGCGCGTGTGTGTGTGTGTGTGTGTGTGTGTGTGTGCGCGCATGCGTGTGTGCGTGCGTGTGTGTGTGTGTGTGTGTGTGTGTGTGTGTGTATGCGGTATGATTCTCTCAATGCTCAACAACAGGTGTACACATTTGGCCTGGAGTCTGATGTACTTCGTCGAGCTGAGAACCGGCGTCGAGCTGAGGAAGCAGAGCGGAGAAGTCAAGAGCAGAGAGCGCAGGCGGAGGCAGCCAGTCGTCCCGTCCCCATGTCAACAATCATGCCCTCAGGCATACTTGAGCCCGAGCGACCAGGAACAAGTCGGACCTTGTCTCAGGAGAACGACCGACGGGTATGTAGACTTGCTTGTGCGTGCGTGTGCATTGTATGGCGTGTATTTGTACATGCTGGGTTAACGTGTGTGTGTGGTGGTGGTGGTGGTGGTGGGGAGGGGGTGGACGGTGCTTTATGGCCGATTTATACTTCCTTTTGCGTACAGGAAAATCATCGCGCGATGTGACGAACAAGGTGAGCTCAAGTCAACTTTTTTCGCGATGCGCCGCGTTTCCCGTACGCGAAATGAAGTGTGAATCAGGCTTATCGGTACTTTGGTGATGCATTGTCCTTTCTATGCGCACTGGTGCTGATCGCTATGTATGTATGGTTTGCATTTGTGCGTGAGTGCGTGCGTGCATGCACGCATGCACATGTGTGTGTATGTGTGTGTGTGTGTGTGTGTGTGTATGCATGCGTGTACACGTATGCTGTATGCTCGTTTCTTTATTCGTGTTCAGAACAACCCAGCCAGCTGGAGTCTGCGTGACTTTGAGACACAGGCCACCGACCCCTTCGAGATGGCCGAGCTGAAGACAATAGACGTCATGGCCGAGCTATCAACGGTGTTCCCGTCGCAAGCTCCCGCTCCCGGGACCACTGCCCAGCAAGGCACGCCGTCCCCAGCCGCTGGCGCCGCCGCAACCTCTGGCGGCTCATCACCAGTGAATGGGGTGGCAACGCTGGGTACGGCAACGGCATCGTCAGCCACGGCCGATGCACGGCAGCAGCCGCAGGCAGTGCCTCGTGCCACCGCTCGACCCGCTGGTGGTGTTGCAATGCCCGGCCTCCGAGCACCATCGCCTAACAATGCACTCACTACGACGGCGGTGACGACTATGACCGATGCGGGTGCTCCCGCAGCGGCAGCAGTAGCGAGCAGCGGAGCGGCTGGACAGGCTACGCTGTCAGCGTGTTCGAGTGGCGCCCCCGTACCGAGTCCTCGTCCCCGACCCCGACCGAGGGCGTCACCAGGAGCTGTAAGTGTAAAACTAGCATGCAGTCGACGTTTAGAATTTTCTAATTTTTCTTCGCATGAATTTTCTCTGCCGGCTTGCCTCTTCTTGGCTTGCTAATGGCTGCACTCCCTCCTACTACAGAGACAAGAAGCAACACATGCAACGAACAAATCAAGATACGAACAGAACATAACGGACTCGCTTGTAGCGAATTTCATGATACAGCGAACCCAATTGCCCTTGTGCCCGTTTGAACACATTCAATAACGTCCATTTGTAGAGAACAGGTTTCGTTTATAACGAACCATATCGTGTAGGGCTGCATGTAACCAAGTGCACTAATACATGTACAGTAAGGGGCCACGTAACAGTCATACAGTGTTGCTTGTATGGCGTAAGTGCTTCACTGGCTGCGTTCGATTATGCACTTGAATCGATCCATGAATCGATTCAAGTGCATTCAAGTCGTTCTACTTTCATGTCATGAGCCCTGGAATCGATTCGGAATCCATTCACCCTATTCACATGGGGTGATGTGAATAGTGCGAATCGATTCATGAATCGATCCGCGGGTATAATCGAACGCACTCACTGTGATAACAAAACTTCGGCGATGAAGAACTAATTCTCCTGCACTCAATGGGTTGCTGGGATGGAGAGCCAAGTATGATTTTATAGGAAAGAAAAACAACCAAGGAATTACAAGTTACGCTATGCTGTCCACTAACACCATCAGTTACTGTACAGTCAGCTGATGCGATAACATGCACCCAATGCTGTTGGCTATACAAAGAGTTGACTGCATGCCGAGATTGTGGTGTACCTAGGCAATGTCACGGGATAACGTGCCGATAAAGTGCTACCATGCACACCCTTCCCGCATCCTGACTTGATTAGCCTAGGGCACTTTTCAGCTGTGCAGCCCAGATCAGGGAATGCACCCGCGATCCAACTCGCAGCGCAGTTGTCGAGCAAATTGTCTTAATTCACTGGTCGCTGTAAAAATGCAGAGATATTTGTATGCAAAATAGCGCCTTTTTTGGCCGTCCGTGGGCAAACATATTTTCAGGATATTCGAATTGGGGAGTTGCCCTCTCTATTGCGTCAAGCAACGGTAGTATCAAATGAATTTTGTGTTCGTACCATGTATAACTGAGTGACTGTGAAGGATGCTAAATTTACTGTGTGGTTATGTGGGCGGGTGACTGTGTGTGTGCATGCGTGTGTGTACACTCATGCATATGCGGCTATGTGTGCCTGCTGTCTTTGAATTCAGATACCGAGCTCCGGTCCTCCTCCGCCGGCATCGAACAGCCCAGAAACGCGACAGATGATGCTGCCCATGCCCCAGACAGCGACAACAACGGCAGCGGTACACCCGCCAACTGGCAATGTCGCTGCTACAACCACCTCCCCGGCTATGTTATCATCGTCCACTGGCCCCACACCGGCTAACCGCTCACCGCAAGCGCGCCCTCGTGTACCGTCACCCGCTGCCGCTGTTGCCACCGGTAACCCACAAGGTCCGCCACCAGCCTACACAGCTACAGGTAAAGTGTGTGTGTGTGTGTGTGTGTGTGTGTGTGTGTGTGTGTGTGTGTGTGTGTGTGTGTGTGTATGCTGCACTGGCTGCGTATGTCCAATGGCAGTATAGTAATAGTTTGTGCAACTGCAGTAGTGTATCATAATTATATAGGCTGTTGAAGTGCCTACGTCACGCTGCCTGAAAACTTGTAGTTGCACGTAGTTACAAGGCAAAGTGGTGGCAAACAAAAGTCGCGTCAACTGCGCTTGTCGTGTTTCCAACGGTCACGGCTCGGCATCACTTTGACTGGGACACGCTGGTGCAAGATGGGTGCGTGCGCGCGTGCCAGCGCGGGTGTGGGTGTGTGTTAGTGGCGATCAATTCATCAGCCTTGCACGCTGTTGAATGGTGTAATCCCAGCACAAGTTGCTATGTCTATTCGTACTCATAGTTTGTTCGCTATCATCGCTTGAGCGATGGGCAGGAGTATGAGTCTGTGTGTGTGTGTGTGTGTTTTGTTTGTGTGTGACAGTTTCTGGTGGTACCGCTGCGCCCAGTGTGACCGCTATGTCAGCTGGGACTGGCGATGCATTCCCGCCACCGTACCCTATGCAGCCGCCAGCGATGCAGCCACCACCGCCCAACGAACCCAGACTGCCGGCGCGAGTAGCACCACCGCCCCCGTACATGGCGGCCACGAACGGCGTAAGTCTGCGTGCGCGTTGCTCGAGGTGCCGTACTGCTGTTGACTGTTGTACTTGCTGGGTGGATGGGTGCGTGCGTGCGTGCGTGCGTCAGTCATTAGACATGGTTAGCATTTTACCGTTCACGCTATATCCAACGGTACTCGTACCCAACACCCAAAATACCGTCGGCTTGGTATCGTTTCGACGATAGAAAGCTCTGTTTAGCGGGAGAACGAAACGGTAAGGTTCCAAGTAGGGTGAAGTGCTAGTGACGTCACAAGTCGATCGTTGTGCGAGAAGCCGAAATGCTGATCAATCATACCTTGAAAACACACAAAAAATAACGGTACAGGCCGACGGTCGAAGCTAGCGTGAACGGTAAATGCAAACCATGTCTAATTTGATGCAGTCTTGTGCCCTTTTACCACTTGACCTACCATTTGTGTGGGCGGGGGTGCCGGGGTATGTGTGTGCAGCCATCTGTGCGTAATATAATAATGATATCTTGATTAGGATGACCCAAAGGCTGGTCGCACTATCAATGGTATCATCGCATTGAAGGGTGTATATTGGTATGAGTGAACAGTAGTGCAAGCAGTGCGGCATGAATTAGTTGGGTAGCACGTAGCGTATGTGCGTACTACCTTTGTCTCCGCTTGCCGTCGTTTCCATGCTGCTGCTGCTGTTTGGTCGCCTTGTCAGTACCCGGACTGGTACAGTATGCTGGCTGGTGGCTACTGTTGGGCTGTCACCTCTACTGCTTGCATGCCGTCTTTGGTGCCGTATTTCTTACTACCGCTGTGTGTGTGTGTGTGTGTGTGTGTTTGTGTTTTCATGGCCTGGTGCTGCTCCTAGCATTGTCACACACCACCTTTAGCACATTTCTCTTCCCCTACAATAACTGTGCTTCCCGAAATCAGTCGACATCATTCTGAAGTAGACATGCGTTTGTGGAAAGGTCGGAATGTCAGTGTCAAGTCCTGCTCTTGTTTGGATCAGCTATCCGCAGTTGAGGCGAGCGGATAGATAGACAAACGAGTAGATAAACGGATGATGAGAGAGAGAGAGATTATACGATGCTGATAACATTTATGCTATGCTGCTGCTGCTGCTGCTGCTGCTGATGGTGGTGGTGGTGTTGGTGGTACTACTGCTGCTGCTGTTGGTGTTGGTGGTGCTACTACTGCTGCTGCTGCTGCTGCTGCTGCTGCTGTTGGTGGTGTTGGTGGTGCTACTGTTGCTGTTGCTGCTACTGCTGCTTAGGACTCTGCATGCGGCGGTGTGACGGCATCGGGCTACGTACACAGCGACTACGCACTACCGGACGTCTACTCGCAGCTGAAGCGCCAGGAGAAGAAGCTAGTGGACCAGCTGAAGCAGATGGGATTCCCGCAGGATCGCTTGTCGCGCGCTGTCCAGCGCCTCGGGAATGATCAAGCCAAGGTATGTGTTTCAGCCGGGCACAGTCACCACCTCTATATATAGACTATAAGAAATCTGAATCAGACAACAATGGATGCGTTCGATTACGTATGATTGATCTAGGCTTGAAAATTCCATGGTTTACAGAGCGAAAAACGAATGCGTCGAATTCGACGCATTCGCACTATGTACGGCTGGCAAAGGGTTAAAAAAGCCAAATCACCTCGTACCACACCATAGAAAGAAATCACACATACAGCCGTCCCTCTTTAATCCAGCACTTTATAAACCAGCACCCTCTTTAATCCAGCACTTTATGAACCAGCACAATTTTCAGTTACCAAAATGTCCTCTTCATGCACATTGCAGCGGTAAATCAGATTTTCTAATCCAGCACCCTCTCTTATCCAGCCGAATTTCCGTAGCACATTATGGTGCCGGATTATAGAGGGACCACTGTACAACGACTGGTTGTGCAAATCAGTAGTGCGGTTCTGATCAGAAAAATCCAACCTGGCCAATCGAATGGCGCTGGGCGCTACGCAGCCTTACTTGCAGCTAGGGTTCGGCGTCCTTGCTACTTTTAGCGCGTACATGCACCGTAGTTCACGTGCACGCTGTAAAACAATGGACTAGCAGTGCTCGCGGCTGCAAGGCCAGTGCCCCGTGACTTCTCAACGGATTTAAATGTCCGAGACAGTACATGTATTTGTAACGCTGCGATTGCATCAGGCTTGTGTGCAACTCTTACGCTTGTTGTCTTGCCCCCCCCCCCCCCCCCCCTCCAGGTGTTGGAGTTCATGTTTCAGATCAACAAGTTTGGTGAATCGCCGCACAATTTCCCACCGGACTCGACAGAAACGGCGCTGGTCAATAACGAATGCTCCGAGGAGAAGGTAAGTGCACCGTTCTCATCACTGATACGTTGCCCGGTCTTTGTCAGGTGTAGGAGAGAGTATGGCTTTGTATTCGACATGCTTATATCCTCTGTGGATTGTGCTGACGGAGGAAAAGAGTATTAGTTTGCCTTCTCTGTGCCCTTGAAAAAGGGGTGAAATCACCTTCAGTCAACTTGGCTAATAATGACTGTGGATATAACGACAATTTGCGAATAACGACAGAATTCCCATGCCCAGAGCAATACCTGTATGCATAGAATGAGACTTCGGGTATAAGGACACTTCGCGGATAACGACACTTTTCTGACGCCCCGTCGGGTGTCGTTATGCGCAAAGTTGACTGTGCATCCACAGCCTCCTTTCTAGTATCAATATTATCTCGTTTGACTGGTGTGGTCATCTGTTTACGCTGCTTCTGTGCAGGCATTAGCAGCCCTGAAGCTGGTCTTTGAGCTGCGGGAGATGGGCTTTGCCGAGGCTACCATTCACAAGGCCCTGAAGGAGGCCAGCAACAAACGCGACGCTGCCATCGACTATCTCATCAGCCACGCGTGATGCTCTCTCTTTCTGCCTCCGAGGTGATGGTCACGGTGGTGGTGCTCGAGTGTTCCCAGCCTAGCTTGCTTATTGTCAGGTCTCGACTACTGGGCCTGTGAGAAGGTTGGCTGCGTGCTGCACTGCCTATGCGGAGCGTTTCCGTTATGCCAGTGTCCCTGGTGTGCTCATCCAGCGCTGCTGCTGCTGCAGCTGATTCAAGTTGAAATATGACTACTGTAGTCTGGTCTGATCCTGAGGTGATGCATGTGTCCACCATCCTCCGCGCACACCCCACTGCTGTGTTTGTTCTAGCATCTCGTCGTGCCGGGTTGTTTGCCGTTTTACGCGGTGGTGGTGGTGCTGCTGCTGCTGCCTGCGCGCAGAGAGAGCGAGTGTGTGTGTGTGTGTGTGTGTGTGTGCGTGAGAGAGAGAGAGAGAGAGAGAGAGAGAGAGAAGAGAGAAGAGAGAGAGAGAGAGCGGGAGCTACAGCACCTGCAGCACCACGATATCCGTACTGTGCCCCCGCTTCATTCTGCATCACGATCAAAACGCAGCAGCCAACCTCTTACACCGTGCATATTGTCTGCCAATTGTATTTCTCTATATCTGCCGAGACGAACAAATGAACCTCTGTCTTAGAAGCACCGCAGTTTTTACTTTACCTTTGATGATTTGCCTCTGCTGTACTACTGTAGCTCCCTCCGCCTATTTTATTACTGCCTGGTGTTGCCCGTTGTACCGATTTACGCTCGTCTACCTATCATCGTATGCGTGGCATTGCCATTGGCGGGAGTGCTGTTCACTTGTTGGCGAAAGCACCAGCACGCTTCGTAACGTTATTGCTTGGAACTGTTATCCCTGGGAGGAGAAGATCCTAGCTGACAGAAGCTACGCAGGCTGTATTTCCACGAAATCATTTCTTTTCTTCTTCTTTTCTGTTGCATTTGACGATAATTTACCAGCGCATTTTGCCAAAGACCTCTTTGTAATTATTTCTGTGGTTTAGGAGTCTTGTGTCAAAAGTGCCACTTTTTATATAGTATTACATTTTCTCCGCTGCTCCTCATACATCTTCGAATCACACCTGTATAGTTGCTATGGCCATGTCATAATAATAATTTTAACAAATCCAGTATTCATGTGTTCTACCATAAAATATGTTTTCCAAAATTCCATGTTACGTAAGGGCATGATCGATTGGGCGAATCCCGAGCAAGTGCGCTCCAAGTGAGTGTGATTGTTTGGCCGAATCCGGAGTAGGTGTACTTGGAGTGGAATCCGACCACACCGGCCCCCACACCGGGAGTGGCCGGAGTGGAAATGGACTTTGCCGTTTTGGGACAGCTTTCACAGAATCTTTGTACGATATGCGAACATTTTGCGTGCTACACCCTTGTTTTGTTCGATTGGGCCAGCATTGCTCGGACCACACCGCCTGCTCGCACTCAATCCAGATCCGCCAATCGATTACACCCTGAGACTCAGAGGCTTATCTGCCTTAATTTGCTGAACTTTCTCAGATACCGTAGAACGGCTCATTTTAGCGGGTGATTTTTTTAGCGTTTTCCGAATCGGACCAATTTGCGATGAAATATTTTAGCGATCCGATCAGGGTTAAAAAGAAAAGAAAAAAAAGGAGATGACTTGTACTGTACTGTACCGTACATGCGAAATTTCGAGTGATGCGGAAAACTTAAAGGGAAAACTCACGTCTTTCGCTAAAATCGCTAAAAATATCACCGGTGCTGAAATCAGCCGTTTTACAGTTTTCTATTTCTAGTGGGAGCTTTGCGCCGTTCTACATGTATTTCTGCACATATAGTAAAACCTGGTGTAAGCGACCTCTCGTTTTAGCGACCACCTGCTCTTAACGACCGTTTTTCCATGCACCGTTCTACGCAGACACTGAGGGACCTGGTTCTAAAGACCAGCTGACTTTAACGACCGCTTTTCTTAGCACCGTGGGGTGGTCGCTTAAACCAGGTCTTACTGTAGTAATTATGCCAGCCGGTCTGAGGATGTTGTACAATGCGATGATACTGTTTCTTCTTGGGACGCGGTGCGCATAGCCTGTGAAGGTCTATGTGCGGCATGCACATCGAGAGTGCCGAATACACATGATTTGAACACTCCTGCTTACAGTACACCATGGTACACCTAGGCATTGAAGTTAAAACAATTATAGTATTGCCTGATGGTTGTCCTTGTTGTTCTGTTCTACATTATAGTAGAAAAAAGTTATTTTCTTGGCCGTCAGTGAAAAAGAACGTAAATTTGTGAGTTCGACGTTTATGATTATTCCGTACATTCATATGTTTGTTTGAAACTCGGATGTTGAGCCAATAATAAATGTAGAAAGGAAAAGGAAATATACATGTAGATACGAGTTGAGAGTAACTCTTCATCACTGTAACCAGATACTTTTTATACAGTCAGAAAGTGCAACAACTAGGCACAAAACTGACAGAGTACTGAGACATTCGACGTCCTGACACCTAGCTTCAACACATCTCCATAGCGCTAACCGCGGCGACAGCCTTCCAACTTGGAAAGTTCAAGGTTATGGAAAGACCAAAGAGGGTCGAATGTCGAATGTCTCAGTACTCTCAGTTTTGTGCCTAGTTACTGCACTTTCTTACTGTACATGTACATGTATATAGTATCTGGTTACAGTGATGGAGAGTTACTCTCAACTCGTATCTATGTTTCCTTTTCCTTTCTACAAACATATGTTTGTGAGTGTAATTCATCCCCCCCCCTTTCCTAGGGACCTTACACGGGCTGCTAACACATGGATTAGTGCGGTGGGAGGTGCAGCCAGTGAAGGTGGGAGCGAGAGAATGATGCTTATTATAACATTCGTCTGCCGAGTGACGACTGCTAGTAAATTATGCTGAAGTACTTGAAACGTTAGTCGTGTACGACTGCGTCTGTGCGTGCGTATTCGGGAGTGAAAACCTAAGAAAGTATTACTACCGGTATTATTGAATGACGCTTTAAAATAGTGGTTGTTACGCACTACAGTCCATGTACATGTACAAGTATAATAATTGTAGAGCCGAAGGATTCATTGCAATTACTTACCAGTATAAAAACCGAGGTCCAAATCCTGAGGCTACTACATTTTATTATACATAATTATGTTGACCTTCACTTTCCCTAAAAAGGAGTATTTTATAAACAGTATTTATTGGGTCAAAAGCCAATAAATACTGTTTATAAAATACCACACAGGCCAATACTGTTTATAAAATACTCCTTTTTAGGGAAAAGTGGAGTGCTACATGGAAAAGTGCAGTGGTATTTATTGAGTCAAGCAAATTTATTTGAATTTGATACTGTTGATGGTGTGGTCACTAATGAGTGTGGGTATTTATCAAAGGTCAATATAATTATGCTAACATAAAATATGACGTAATGGTATAAAGCACAAGCATCAATCACGGCTGTGTGGGTAACATTTGCCATAATTTCCACACAAGAAAAGTGTTGTCAGCGCCGAGAACACGCTTGATCACGATTAGTGCTGGCTAGGGTCCAGCGGGTAATGCTCCAAAAATGTTCGTATAATGCTAACCATATTAAATGCTCCAAAAACTGCCTTATAATGCTGATTATAATGCTTCAGGAAGGGATAGTTATAATGCTCTTTGTTTGGGACAAAAATGGAAGAAAGTCTGCACATTGTCAAACTTCCAGGAAATTATGCATATCGTCGATCTGTATCTGAAGCTGCCACCTTATCTCTCACAAGCTCCACCACTTCTTAGCACTATAAAGTATAAGACATGATCGCTTCTCCATTGATTGCTGTCCATTCCAACTTTGATGCAGGGTTGTGGCAGAATAGTCGGTGTATCAAATCTTTCCCCTAATTAACCATGTAGTGAGAGATGAAACCATTATCGCAGGTAAGCATTCATTGTTGGAATGAAGTTAATCTTGGCAAATAGTATTCCTGCCTGCAGACAAGCTGTCACTGTGTCCACTCTGTGAATAATGTCTTCATCTGAAACACCATACGTGAGGCCAGCTCCTGAGATCCGATCTCAGGTGGAGAGCTCTCCCATTTGCGGAAATCCTGAAAACACGTGGTCAGAAGTTATTTTGCCACTCTACATCCTTTGCTTGTGCTCTCATCTTCTCCTTGAGATCGTGTGTAGACGTATGGCCTGCCACAATACTCTTCCTTTCTGATAGCATTTGACTGTAGAAGAGAATTGGTGAGCACACATGCTCACTCCCTGGGCACTGCAAATTCACAACTCATTTCATTTTATAGAATCATTTTCAACGTTTCGGCAAATTGCCATCATCAGGATGCAATATGAAGTGGAAGTCTGCAAAGGAGCAGTTATATACACTAATTTGGTGTTCTTAGGTGTTGATAATAATTATTTCTATGACTGCACATGTTAGGGGCCGTCCGGGGTTACCAATAGTTTATGCAAAAACGAAAGGTTTTAGTTTTTTTCAGCACCCACCCACCCACCTACCTTTTCTGCAGGTAAAACGAATTCAAATAAAATATTGATCTCAATTTTCGACACGCAGAAGTAACTGGGCATTCTCCATCTGCATTCAATAATTATTTTCAAAACGAAACTCCTTCAAACCCACCCACCCCCAAACGAAAACTTTTCGTTTTGAAAATACTATTGGTAACCTTGGACGGCCCCTTACCTCAGTGCTAGAGTTGCACTGTTGCACGGTTGCAAGAGCCAGTGACAGGGCAAGCCGCAAATTGCGAGAGGCAGTGGAGATCAGAAACGAAGTCCCAGAGATCAACACCAGTGCTGGATGGTCATTACTCTAAAACAGTCACACTACACTGGCTATCTAGGTGACAGCATTTTCTGGAAAACACTGGCATGGTCACATTCGTGTATTGCTTGCGAGAAACCTGTTCAGACATTTCTCAAGTTATCTGGTGACATCTGCGCTGTGCTAACTTATTACCAACACCCAGCATATGAGTCAGTGAAAACTTGTGATCTTTCACTAGTTTTAGACATGTCATAATTTCTAGCACTGAGGTAACATGTGCAGTCATAGAAATAATTATTATCAACACCTAAGAACACCAAATTAGTGTATATAACTGCTCCTTTGCAGACTTCCACTTCATATTGCATCCTGATGATGGCAATTTGCCGAAACGTTGAAAATGATTCTGCCAAATGAAATGAGGTGTGAATTTGCAGTGCCCAGGGAATGAGCATGTGTGCTCACCAATTCTCTTCGAGTTATGAAGCTGCAGGATGCCTCACCGCTACTTCATTTGACTGTAGGCCTGGCATTACTACCGTCCACAACTAACTGTACGTGCTTCATCAGGAAACTAAGACAGGCGCTGCTGAGAAATCGGCTTGGTACTGAGTCCATGCGAAATTCTAGTTCTTTTCGAGCCTCCTGAGCTGGACTCGGCAAAGGCAGTTCTTTTAGAACAAGCCATTCCTGTTTATAGCCGCTCCTTCATCCTGGTCCAAATTTAGCAATGCATCAGTAGAGAGTTTTAGCAACTCGTGAACGAGTAGACCTCTCTACGAGTCGGTGGCAGGGAGCCCTACATACATTGGTATGCGTAGGGCCGCCGGGTCGGTGGTCGACTCGGGTGCCTGGGTTCGAGTCTCGTTGTGTGCTGCAATCGGGGTTCGTTTCGCACGAATCAAGGGCAGTTGATTCGTTATGGCATACGAGTCCTTTCCTTAGATTTATTTCATCGACCACCGCGCGCAGCGCTAGGGCGCGAGGCCTGGAGATTTTATTCAAAAAGACCATGATTTGAGAAGAGGGAAGCTTCAACTACTTGACGTTCAAATCCTTACTGTTGCTTTCTTTAGCTCTTGATTGATTTCGATGCTCGTATCCATCTTCTGGCATACGACGAGAAGATCATTGATGAGGAAGAAAATAGTCTTCCTTTACTTTGCACTGGATGAATTGATCGTGGTGCAGATGATCGTGGTGAGCAGCATGATTTGAGACGTTTCCGCGGCTTGTGTTAGACGAGCTCAGCGGCGAAGGTTGCGCCAAAATGTTTCAATTTCCTCTACGCGTACAACACTCTGTAGTCCTGGACAGGATCCAAACTCCTGAGTCCTGTTGGTATGCACTTTTTTACCGCACCGTTGTAGTGCAAAAAAAGTGCTCGCGCAAAATCGACTATGAAA